TATCAAAGTCCACTTCAAACCATTATTTAAACAATAATACAGGAGCAGCAAACCGCCGCCGGTCAATTTCACGCCAAAACTCCGCAAAGTATTGATACATCAAAAAAATATTGCCAGAAAAAAAAAAACAAAAACAAAAAAAAACTTAATGTTGTTTTCTTTATTATGATTATATTATTTTCTTGAATTATAAATTATACTAAAAAACACAAACTTTGTTTGTTGTTAATTTAGCGCGAAATCTAGGGCTTTTTTAAAGCGCTGTTTTCATGAAATCTAGCGCTTTTTGTGTTGTCCTAGCGCTGAATGAGTTTTTATCTGGCAGCACTGTCCCGGAATCGGTCAGTAGTCATCCGCCTAAGACGCCCATTACACGCCTAGGCAAGCGTCAATCAGTTCGATTAATCATGACTGAGGTTTGAATGATGGAATAATTTGGACATTACACGCTCATGCTGACTGATCGTCAGTCAAACCCAAATTTCCGGAGTGAAAGGACGTACATATAACCTAAGTTTATTTTCGATTCACCATTTAATTATAATTTTATATCTTGAAAAGAAAAAAAAAACGAATAGGAAAAATTGTAAAATTTAATATCATTTTACCCATTTTAATTTAACGCGCGCAAATGTTAGACCTCTTGGAGTGCATAATCGATACGCGGTTTTATTTAAAACGCATTTATGGACGAAAAATAAGGTTAACTTGTACATTTATTCGTATAGGGTGGATGCCCCTATTACCAGCCTTTTAGTGCCAATTTCAATTTCCTTTTGTGTATCTAATGCCAGCATAGCATAGGGCTATGCCTTTTGAGTTTTTGGTAGGTACCTAATGTAGGTAAATTTTAGGGGCACTGAAATAAATTCACAACAACTTTTAATTTTAAATCATGCATGTCACAAGTATGGAATATGTATTAAGATAGACGACAACAATTATTTTATTTTAATGTTTTACTTCTTACCTTACTGTGGTTTAGCTTTAAGCAGTTACATTTTATCTTTTAACACTAAACAATTAATTAAAATAATATTATAATAAAAATTATGTATTATAGTACACCGATTTCTTATAATTTAATCATCCAAGTTTTACAATCTTTATCATCATTTCAGCCCTTCACAAGTCGACTACAGAACATCATCCTCCATAGACTGCCGCAAAGCATGGTCCTGAACCACTTTCCTTGTTATGACTTTTTCATTTATGTTCTTAAGTTATAATAAAATTAGTATTACTAAGTTGTAGTTAATTACATTTATTGTTTGTTTTTGTCTTTCTCAAAAAATAATTAAATATTGTATGGTGTTCTTAACATATACCAAATGTCTGAAAAGCAAGTACGTATCATTTGTTAAACTTTTAAATCAAACACCAATTTTAAAATATAGACGAATTGACCATAACTTACTTAACTATAAAATAAGTTATGTTTTTTTTATATAGGATAGGGTGACAAACGAGCACACAGTCCACCTAATGGTAAGTGGTTGCTGTGACCCATAGACATCTACATCTATCCTCAATATAGACTCAAGATGCAGATGCGTTGTCACCCGTAAGGACTAAGATGGAATGCCTCTTTGCCAGTAAAAAGGGTCTCCGGTTCTTTACACTCACCATACGAAACACAGCAGCGTTAAGCTGCTATTCTACGTTGGTTTTCTGTGTGAGTTCAAATTAATGGTATTTATGCTAGTTTATGACAGCCCTGATTTATATTACGTGGTTGAAATAAGGTACTTCTTATTATTTACGTCAAACCAAATAACAGTCGGGCCACTGACATTATGCACTCCATAAATTTCGTATATCTACTTACAGCCCCATTAATTTCCACTAAAATAAAATAAAAAACTTATAAATTTAAACAAAAACAGCTGCATTACTATGTCTATAGTCACATTCATACAAATCAAAATGCCTAAAGATGAGCTAATGTAAAATATGCTTATGTTTTGATTTTTAATTTAACACTGTTAGGTTTAAAACTGTGAGGTAATATTTGAAATATACTTTCCTCTAATTACGAAGAATTTTTAGCCTACTAGAAATCTTATTTACGAAGTAAAAAGGCGGAAAGGCTGGAATTAGGGGCGTGGCTGGTATTAGGGGCATCCAACCTCTACCCGGGGTTTTTCGTGTCCCACAACTCGGGGAGAGACTGAAAATTTAAAACAAAATCTTTTTCTGGCTGAAACACATTTCGTAGGAGTGGCGACGGGCTGCGCGAGCGCGTAGAAGCAGCCTCTTCAATATATTCTGCGTCCGCCTCCATTGCTGTCTAAGCGTTGACTGACGCGTGATTGACGAAATGCCATTACACGTTCAATCAAAATTCGTGACAGATAGTTGATTGACGTAAAAATCAAAATATCCAGATATTTGTCAATCAATTTCATGCAACCGTCAATCACCGCATTACACGATAGGTTATTCGTCAATCACAACCGTGATTGTTGTAAAACTGACAGCAAAACCTACCGTGTAATGGGCGTCTAAGGGTATTAGTATTCTGTGGCCCCTTGTGTTTCTATATAGTTTGTGCCTTTAGGGTTATATGTGTTCTGTGTTTGATGTTTGTGGTTCTGTGGTAGTCATTCAAGGTAGACATAGCGTTAAATAAAATATTGAATATAAGGTTAATTTTATAGCAAATAATTACTACAATGCTTATTTTTAGACATGTGAAACCACAATTTTAATGTAATATATCAAAAGAATACATGTATTGATGTTTTAAAGGAATATTTTTTCATTCGAATAACACTGCTTTGTAAACCGTCATCTACTCCATTCAACGGTCATTTTGTCAAACGAAAGTTAATTGATTCTCAAGGTGGCATGTAAAGAAGACGCTAGATAGATTTGTTCCCTTTTTAAAAGGTTTTGTTTAATAAAATTTTACAACAGTTTCATAGACTGGCTTCGAATATTTTCCAGGCCTTAGTTGTAAAAGTGTTAATTATACCTATGCCTAGGTTTGTTAATGTTTATATAGTTTACTTATCTGTATAACGTTAGTGTATAATAAAGAAATATATAAATATTTAAAAAAAATAGTGGTATGCTGTGAATAAATAAACCGCAGCATCCGTTAGCGCATCATAAATTCGTCCGCACATTGGCCTGAACCAAAGCAAACTGAACGACCTTCCAACGTGTGGACGCGATCACAAATTCTCGGCCAATATCTCTGCGAACACATTCGCCAGTGTGTTGGCTAACGTGAAGAGCCGCCGTAACGAGTATGCTCATTTTTTCTATAGGATAGTGTGACAAACGAGCACACTATCCACCCGGCGGTTAGTGGTTACTATGACCCATAGACATCTACATCTATCCTCAATAAAGACTCAAAATGCAAATGCGTTGTCACCTGTGAGGACTAAGATGGAATGCCTCTTTGCCAGTAAAAATGGTCTCCGGTTCTTTACACTCACCATACGAAACACTTCAGTGTAAAGCTGCTATTTGACGCTGGTATTCTGTGAGGGCGTGGTCCTTCCCCGGTCGAGCCGACCCCTTCGTGCTACAACTATACCAGTAATATAGCTGCAGCGTGGCTCTACCACGTAAATAATCATTACTAGCAATGTTTTGATACACTTGCTACTAAGTAACATTTGCTCATTAATAGCAAGATTTCGTGCTGAGCATGTCTATCCGTAGCTTAAGGGCAACATTGCTTTCGAAACTTGTATAAGTCTCTTATACGACACGTGCGAGGGAGCCCGAACAGAGTCCTACAGATTAGCAACAGAGTGGATTCTAACCTGCTTGCAAGGTTTATTGAACTACATGTTTTATGAGTTCCATAAGCCGACAAGACAGAAGTTTACACTCTGTATTAAGTTTTGCATAGATTTCGTTCAATTTTTACTAACCTCGCATGTAAGAAAAATTGTACCATACATATATGGACCCGAGTTTGAAAATAATGATTAATAATAATAAATACCTACTTTCTCTAAGAGACCTGACCTCTATATATGGAGGTCAGTGGCCTGTGGCTATCTGAAGGACATTAGTAGATTATTAATTATTATCAAGTAAGTGAAAATTTTTACAATGAAAATTCAGTAAAGCAGACATTAATAATTTTAAAATTAAAAAATTTCTACAACCGACTTCAATATAAATTATTAAGAATTACTCAAAAATATTTGGGACCACATGTGAAGTACCAGCATTCAAATAAAGAAGAATCATCGAAATCGGTTCACCTAGTAAAAAGTTATGAAGTAATACACATAAAAAACAGTCAAATTGAGAACCACCTCCTTTTTGAAGCCTGTAGAAAAACCTATGGATGAGACTAGTCCACAGTTCCAAAGTGACATTTTGATAATGATGGAACAAAATCTTACATTACTGACTTAGGGGAAAGTGGGATACAGTGAATCACTTTTTTTAAAGAAAACAAAAAGCAGTAGCTATATATATATATATATATATATATATATATATATATATATATATATATATATATATATATATATAATTTTTTACAGCTTGATTGGTTGTATGAGATGTTGATTATAAAAATTCATCTCGTATTTAGAAAAACTACCAATAGTTCTTGGATAACAAGGTTTTTAAAAAAAGTGGGAATTGATCCAATGTACCCTGCATATAGGATACACTGGATCTCCTTGTGGGGTACCTACTGTGGATCGTAACGGAGCTGAGTAAACCAACATTTATCTAATTAAGAGTCAAAGGACCATGCTTTGTAGCATTCCTTGGGGGAGAATCTGTTCACCAGAGGACTGGTGAAGAAGGACTGTAATGATGTAATAAATGAAAAACTAGTTTTGCATTTACTTATTTCCTTTATATAGTATATTTATAATAAACATATTTGTATATTCTGATATAGATCATGGAATAAGTTATTACTTGTGTCTCAATTAAAACTATTCACATGTAAAATGTCATTGGCAAAATCATTTAACCACCATAAGGGAAGAAAAAAGAAAAACACCACTATATTACGAATATTTTAATTGACCTATTGAATAAATCCTTTGACCGGCTTTTGTAAAAAATACACTCATTGATGAATTATGTGACTGAAACATGCTTGGTGAGCTAAAATTCCATCTCGAAAGGCTTTCCTCCTGGCTTTGAATGCTGATGGAAGCCCAATAGTTATGTAAATCACGACTTAAAACATATTCAGATAATTTAATACATAATTGCATGATAATTGTTGGTGTCAAAAATCCTTTTACAATGAGTATGGATATTCTACTTGACTCTAGTGGGTTCATGCTCTCTGGTTGAGAGTAAGTACTCACATAGGCTTCTTTAGGTGTTATATTTGCCCCATGACTTAACATTCCTACCCATTCAACAATGTCCTCGATCTCCACACCTTCTAAAGAGGGTATCTCTGTTATTTCAGGTGATACATTTCTTACTTCGAGGGAACAGACTGCCACATGTATATTTTTGTCATGGAAGTACTTTGCTAGGGACGATGGGCATATTTCCTCTGAATTTGGTTCCCAAAGTACATAAAAATCGAAATTTCCAAGTTTACATAATGCATCACAAATTTTTTTATAATGCTTAAGATTTTTTAGATCTATTTTTACTTCATAGTAATTGTTTGGCCGCTTTGTTCCTTCAAGACCAAGTGTTTGATATATAAATTCCAAAATATGCAATGTTAGAACTCCATCAGGTGTAATAGCAGCGCAGTTTTGTACTATACAGTTGCTGTCAGCAGTTAAACAATATAAACTTCCATGTTTCACAAAGCTGTTAATGAATACACTATCTACAAACTCGGTGAGAGGACAATTAGATAATTTATAAAAATCACTGTCTTCTAAAATTATCTCCTCAATAGAACTTGGTATTTTTATTTCGTCTGGGCAGGTAATGATAATACTTTTGTAGAACTTATTTAATTTAATTGCTTCGTTGACGGATTCTATATTTTGCTTTGTTTTTTGGTAAGTTATGACTTTGGGCGGAGAAAAATTCGAAACTTCTGGACAGAGCATTTTAAAACGTTATTTAAACTTTAAAATAAGTTCGCAATAATTGAATGCACATTTAACACTATAACCTTAAAATAAAAATGCAAAACAAAACAAATAAATAAATACTGTTGTTACTATCGCCAATTAAAGCAGATAAAGATCTTATACCATACAGCCTAGTATAATTTGTAATTTATTTTCAAGTCATTAATGACATTGCGAAATTCTTGGGAGATTTTGACGACAGTCTAATTCATCGGATAGTAGCTCAAAGCCCTCATGTGGAAAATAAACCTGAGAATTAAATTACAAAGCACTTGTTACATAGTTTCGTGGAATGAAATAATAGGAAAAGAGGCATTCTATCTTAATCCTCACGGGTGACAACGCATCTTCATTTTGATTTGCAAACGAGGAACGAGGATAAATGTTGATGTCTATGGGCCACAGCAACTACCACAGACTAATATGATACTAACGTATGGCAACTACTTACTATCAGGTGGACTGTGTGCTCGTTTGTCACCCTATCCTATAAAAAAAAATATATGATGTACTACTCTTATAAGGGGCGAAAGTTGAAAAAGTGTCCTACTATTTACTGAAAATAGAGATTCCAAAACCTACCACAATAGCGCTGGCGTCTGAAAAACTACGATATGAAGATAGCTGTTGTGAACGAAGTGAAGTCAGCTGAATTCAAATATTTAAAAAATTAAAAATTTCATGATTAGAGTAGTTAGTAAAATGCCAGTATACAAAATCTCAACTATTTACGTAGTATAAAACCAAGCGGATTGGTCCGTCCTTGTTTATTTCTCCATCTTATTCTAATTACTTTTGGCGCTTTTTAAAATTTATCCTATGCTACTGCAGCGCCACCCTTATTGGACACGTTTTTAGGGACACTTTTCATATATAGAGTTGGTCCTCATTCTCTCTACACTCCATAACAAGCATAAACGTAGTGATTATATTCTCTTTGCCCTAGCACTTCTTATAAGTTTGTGCCATAGACTTAGAATATACCAGTATATTCTAAGTCTATGGTTTGTGCCTAGCCTCTTTACTCTGTGCTAGCACCACAGAATATAATACTAGCATTTAAGGTGAAGGCGCAAGGGTGGCCCGCGAAATTAAAATGAGAAAATATAATCCCTTTGAATGCGTTTTTCTATAAATAGCCATACAATAGGATTATACGAACTTAGAGAGTTGTATTAATGTTTATAATGATGATAATTCTGTAAATACATACTCGTTACGGTCGCGAATCATATTTAAACATACAACCTGACACTGACCTGCAAAGTGCAAAAAATTTAAGAAAATTTAAATTTCGTGGTCTACACTGCTGCTTTCACCTTAATACCATTTACTTAGAATATACTGGCGTATAGACGTACACAGTGTGCAAGGGAGAAGAAAATTCCTTATGGCAAAATGCAAGATAGAAAAGGATACCAAATCTTATGACTGTAAACGATTTTGAATGACAGGTCGGCACAAGTCCACAAACTAATAAGAAGTGCTAGCCCAGCACAAGTCGGCACGCAAAAAATTACTATAGTGATGCCATGTGACGGTTACTTTGCAATGTTTTGTTACAACCAAGGGTTGTCACTTTCAACCTATACTTTTAACCGATTACAACTATTTAAACAAAGTGTTCTACACTTGATATTGAAACAGAAACTTTTTTATTCAATATAGATTATAAATAATACTTATTGAAAGTCACTCTTTTGTTTAATTATCACTGGTTCGGAAAAAAAAACCTCTGTCCTGGGAAGAACCGGCAAGAAACCCAGCGGGACTTTTTTTTAAATAACAGCTTACAATCATGTATGTTACACACATTAACAACACAACAAATTAGAAATAGCTTGGTAGCGGTCACCTCATTTCCAGGGGTTATTATCATCCATAAATTCCTTAGTATTATAATAACCCTTTTGATACAAACTTTGTTTAATAAAGTTTTTGAACTTTGAGCCGGTCAAATTTTGTATATTTTCTGGAATTTTGTTGTAAAAGCGTATGCATCGCCCCAAGAATGAATTACTGACTCGATGGAGTCGAGTAACTGGTACTACTAGCTTTTGTCTGTTCCTAGTATTTACAGAATGAATATCACTTACTTTTGTAAAACTACTTTTATTTTTGTGTAAATGTATTGAGAGGCCAAAGTTAATATATTAATTTCCTTAAATTTTTTTCGCAGCAACTCTTTAGGCTTTAAATCATAAATTGCTCTTATGGCCCTATTCTGTAAAACAAATATAATTTCAGTGTCAGCTGCGTGTCCCCATAGCAAAATACCATACTACATTATTCTATGGAAATAGCTAAAGTAAACTAGTCTAGCTGTTTCAACACTGGTTAGACTTCTAATCTTTTTTACAGCACATGCTGCAGAAGTAAGTCTGCTTGCTAGTTTTGATATATGGGGGCTGCATTGAAGCTTCGCGTCTAGTGTGATTCCAAGAAAAATGGTGGTATCTACAAGACTCAGTTTCTCCCCATTAAAAATTACATTAGTATTTAATTGTTTGACATTTGGAGTCATGAATTTCATACATTTCGTTTTAGTGCCATTTAAATGCAAATTATTAACATTGAACCAATTTACTAATTTAGATATAGCATTATTTACTTCGTCATATTTTAATAATTGTCGACTGAATTTAAAAATTAAAGAAGTGTCATCTGCAAATAATACTATGTCATGGTTATCCCCTACTATGTAAGGTAAGTCATTAATGTATAAGAGAAACAGAAAGGGGCCGAGAATTGAGCCTTGAGGCACGCCCATTTGTACCATCGACCCGGAAGAGCTCATATTGTTAATGAAAACTTTTTGTGTTCTCTTACTTAAATATGAAATAATTAATTTAAGAGCATCACTTCTTACATCGTAGTGTTCAAGTTTCCTGATTAATGTTTCATTGTGAACACAATCGAAGGCCTGGGATAGGTCACAAAATATATGCAAAGCATCCTGTGCATTCTCCCATGCATTAAAGATATATTTAATCAGCTCAACACCGGCATCAGTTGTCGAGAGACCCCTTGTGAAACCAAATTGATTTTTATGAAGTAAATTAAAATATTAAAGAAATTTAACATTTGGTAAAGAATAATTTTTTCAAAAATCTTACTAAGTGTTGGTAGTACAGAAATAGGTCTAAAATTGGCGGGGTCTAATGTACTACCAGATTTAAATAAAGGTATCATTTTACTATGCTTCATTAAATCAGGAAACACACCAGATTCGATACTAGTATTAAAAATAATAGCTAGATAAGGCGCGATTGTATCTATTATAGACGCAATAACTTTAACGGAAATCCCCCATAGATCCGCAGTTTTCTTAACATCAATAGTTTAAAATATTTTACAATATCTTTTGATGATAGTTTATGAAATGTAAAATTCTTTGTACACGCATTTACATTTTGTTTAAATAATGATACGGCGACGGCAGGAGAAGAATTCAGTGATTTAGTGGCTCATGGCATTCTATGTTTGTATGCATGTTTGTATTAATGTTTCACCGTAGCAGCCCATTAGACCGATTTTACGAAATGAGTCGTCAATCAATTCATCTTTTTTAAAAGTGAAGGAAAAGAATAGAGAAATCTATATTATTTTTACTGCGTTGTCGGGCATTAATAATATTATCACTACTCAGTATTTTTCATAATTTCAACTTAGTGTATTGATATAAAGCAAAACATTAATTGTCATTTTTTTGCTATTATGGAAAAACAATATTCATATTTTTTTATAGGAGAGGGGGCAAACAAGCATGCGGCTCACCTGATGATAAGTGACTACTGCCGCCCATGAACAACTTCAACACCAGGGGAATTACCAGATGCGTTGCCGGCCTTTTAAAAAAAAGTAGGCACTTTTCTTGAAGGTCCTTAAGTCGTATCGGCCCGGAAAAATCCCTTGTGGTCATCGATTCCACAAGGAAGTTGTGCAAATCATCCAAATAGTATGGATAGAATCATGAGTTTTGTCGAGATGTGCGATGGTGAAATTGAGCAGCTGGAATCAGTCCGAACAATTCCTTAGAGCACTCCCCGTGATAGATGTGATAAAATATACAAGGAGATGCAACATCTTTACGCAGTGCTAGTGAGTCAAAGCGATCGGAAAGAACCAGGTCGTCGACGATTTGAACCACTCTGCGCTGGATGGTCAATTTGGCAACAAGGGGAGTACCTTGAAACTGATGAGATACGACAAAGCGGGTCATTTTAGCGGTAAACGCGCAAAGTTGTGTCTTCTGGGGATTGAACTGGACTAAATTTAGTCGCCCTCAGTCTGAGACTGTTCAACAAAGTCTCTACTTCAGACACAAGTTTGGTCCGGTACTCCACGACGTTTTCCCGAGAAATATTGGCACGGCCGGTGTATAAAGTATCACCATTGCTGTCGTTTGAATAGCAATGAATGTTACCAGTTTGCAACATATCATTGATATGCAGAAGAAACAGCGTTGGTGATAGCACACAGCCTTGTGGAAAACCAGTGTTAATGGGCTTGTAATCGGAGCATGCACCATCTACTACGACCTTGATGCTCCGATCTGGAAGAAAACTGATGATCCAATTGCACAATTTCTCGGGAAGTCCATTGAAACGGAGCTTTGAAAGAAGCGCTTTGTGCCAAACCCGATCGAAGGCCTTCGTTATATCCAATATAACGGCCAACGTCTCCCCCACGGACTCCACTGCCTCCACCCATCTATGAGTTAGATAACCTAGCTGAGCGCCCTCGACGGAAACTGTACTGGCGGTCACTAATGAGCCTGTGATCCTCAAGGTACCGCATGGGCTGGCAGTTAATAATAGTTTCCATTACTTTGGAGAACAAGGAGGTGATAGCGATAGGCCTGTAGTTGGACGGATCTGAGCCGTCGCCTTTTCAGGGATCGGGTGCACCAAAGCTGTCTTCCATTTTTTTAAAGGATATGGGTGACAAACGAGCACACAGTCCACCTGATGGTA